CCTGAAGATTGCAAACATTGTACTAGGCAAGAGAATAAGGAAGTGGTATCCGTGAGGATGCTCAGGGCAGACCACCTCAGCAACGAGTGGAAGGACAGCTTACAACGTGCACAGCAGAAAGATCTGGATATCAAGCCAATCCTAGAATGGATGAAGGCCAGTGCTCCCAAGCCCAAGTGGAGCGACGTCTCAGCTATGAGTTCGACCACTAAAAGCTATTGGGCCCAGTGGAACAGCTTGCTGCTTCAGGATGGAGTTCTGTGCCGTAAATGGGAAAGTGATCGGGAAGACAGCTGTCATTTGCAAATGGTTGTCCCTAAAGCTAAAGTACCGAAAGTTCTACAGCTGTACCATAATGATTATTCAGGAGGCCATCTGGGAGTTAAACGAACTCTACTGAAGATACGAGAACGGTTTTACTGGGTCCACTGTCGAAACGATGTCGAGGACTGGTGTCGCAAATGTACAATTTGTGCGGCAGTAAAGGGACCTCAGACTCGTAGTAGAGGTGCATTGAATAGTTGTACAATGTTGGTGCACCATGGGAGAGAATAGCCATTGACGTGGCGGGGCCGTTTCCGGAGAGTGAAAGCGGTAACAAGTATTTCATGGTTGTGATGGATTACTTCACTAAGTGGCCAGAAGTCTTCGCCATTTCAAATCAAGAAGCTTCAACAGTTGCAGATAAACTAGTTCATGAAGTCTTCTATCGTTTTGGAGTACCTTTAGAGATTCACAGCGATCAAGGAAGGAATTTTGAATCTCAAATATTCGAGGAAAACTTGCCGAGTTATGGGTACTCATAAAACGAGAACGACTTCTTATCACCCGCAATCTGATGGAATGGTAGAACGATTTAATCAGACATTGGAGAGGTACCTAGCAAAAGTTGTAGACAATCGGCAACGAGATTGGGACAAGCACATACAACCGTTTTTGTTGTCATATCGCAGCGCTGTTCACGAAAGTACAGCAGTGACACCAGCTTTCGCAAACTTTGGAAGAGAATTACGGCTGCCTGCAGACCTGATCACCGAGATACCACCTGATGCTCCACGCAGTATAACCGATTATGCAAATGACTTGCGGAACAAAATGAATGACGTTTATGAGCACGTCAGACAATCGGGCCAGCAAATGTCTGAAAAGATGAAAACCCGGTACGACCGCAAAATGAACAACAAATGGTTCGACGAAAGTTCACTAGTGTGGTTGCACAATCCAGCCCGCAGCAAAGGGAAATCTCCTAAGCTTCAAGCTAAATGGGACGGCCCGTACCGGATTGTGACCAGGATCAACGATGTAACCTACCGGATACAGAAAGGCGCAAGAGGGACTCCTAAGATCGTCCATGTGGATCGCCTGGCGCGTTATTATGGGGCCGATAATGCTCGGGACGAGCATCTCTTAGGAGGGGGCAGTGTTACGCGCTCAAGTCGACGGCACTAGCGCCATCTAGTCTCGAACCGAAGAACTAAACTTCTTGAAGTGAAACACGAACTATCGGTACCTTACGCGTGTTTACTTGAATATTCTGGATATTTCGCTGCTAATTTATATAAATAGGCGCTGCAAGATGCGATCGAGAAATATTGAATGTGGCGAGGCAAGCGGAGCTTCGGAGCGAAATAAAGTGAATCAGTGTGATTAATTATTAGTGTTTTAAGTTTTAATTGGTGTAAAGAAAATTAAAGTGTTAATTTAGGTAATTCTATCGGCAATTTTTATTGTCACGAACCTCAAGCTCGTAACAATATGGTCTCACTGGAAATTAACGCTGAAACATTGCATGTGCTGAATGGTGGGTAGATAACTTATTTGTGCAAATTATTCTTTCATAATCTAGATTATGGCATTGAATTATGCGAGATTTTTTTTATTATGGAGTATAGTTTTTAGTTTAAACGAGACATAATTTTGTATTTACATATTAATAAAATACAAGTGTTTGTCTGTTATGTCAGAATAAATTCCCTTTTGTTCTTTTAATGGAGCTCAGCGGGTTATTTGTACGTCATTAAGACATGAACTTGTAACTGGAAATGAACTGGAAACTTGTAAGAACTGCCAGGGGACATTCGAAACAGCCTATGATGAATGCTATAAGAGACGAGAATGGCTATATTCTGAATGATGAAGTTTTGAGTTTAAAGAGATGGAAGGAATATTTTGAAAGCGTGTTTATGAGTGAGGAGACAACGTGTGTACTAAGTGAAGTAGAAATTCCGAAAGAAGAGGAAAGAGGTAGCGAGATAAGTATAGGTAAAATAATGAAAGCAATGAAAAGCTTGAAAGTAGGTAAAGCTGCTGGATATGATAGAGTTTCACTCGAAATACTAAGGCCTGGAGAGGAAGTGGTGGCAGGCTTGCTGCACACGTTGTTTAAATTATGCTGGGAACTGAAGCGGGTACCTGTAGACTGGTGCAAAGCCGTGATAGTCCCAGTATATAAGGGAAAAGGGTCGCAGCAGGACTGTAAAAAATACCGTGGCATCAGCCTTCTTAGCATTGTGGGAAAACTGTATGCTAAGGTATTGATTGAAAGGGTCATGAAAGAAACTGATAGAAAAATTTGGGATGTGCAAGCGGGATTTAGAAAGGGAATGGGATGTACAGATCAAGTCTATTCCATGCGCATGATCGCGGTGAAGTTTTTGGCCAAAAACCAAAAGGTTTTTTGTGCGTTCATGAACTTGAAGAAGGCCTATGACAGAGTGAATAGGGATGTGCTATGGCAAACACTGAAGTCATTTGGGTTGGGCGCTGGCTTGATACAGGCATTGGAGTCCCTTTATAGGGACTCTAGTGCTTGTGTTAGGATCAACGGGGTCTACTCGGACTGGTTTGACATCCATAAAGGTGTCAGACAGGGCTGTGTGGCTTCCCCGTGGCTGTTCAACCTATTTATGGACAGTTGTTTGCAAAATTTGAAAGTTGAAGAATGCGGATTAAGAATGGGTGAGTTAACCGTCAAATGCCTTTTGTACGTCGATGATCAAGTTATCCTTGCGTCTTCGGCGGCCGAGTTGCAAATGATGGTTACATTAATGAACAGATCATTAAAAGAAAGTGGTATGAAAGTGAACGCAACTAAGACGAAGGTAATGGTTTTTGAAAGAGAAGAAAGTAAAACGATTTGTGAAATAAAATAGAAGGGGAGTTGATCGAGCAAGTAGATGAGTTTGTATATTTGGGCTGCGTATTTAGCAGGGATGGGAGATATGATAAGGACATTGAAAGACGAGTGAATGCAGGAAATAGAGTAAATGGGGCCCTGCACTCTATTGTGAAGAGTCAAAATGTGTCGAAAAAGGCACGTATGGCAATTCACAATGCTGTGTTAGTCCCTACTTTAACGTATGGTAGTGAAAGTCGGGTGTGGCAGAAGAAACACGAAAGTAGAATGAACGCAGTAGAAATGCGGTCGTTAAGTAGTATGTTAGGGCTGAATCTTAATGACAGGGTAAGAAATTGTGTAATAAGAGAATAGTGTGGTTTGCAAGATGATGTTGTGACCAGGATTAAGAAAGGAATGCTTCGGTGGTTTGGTTGGTCATGTGTAAAGAATGAATGAGGAAATAGTGACAAAGAAAATTTATGTTGCAGAAGTGAATGGCAGAGTCGGAAAGGGACGTCCTAGGCGAAAATTTATCGACCAAATTGGCGATTTATTAAAAACGGGCCAAATTAGGAGTACCCTTAACCGACGAGCATGTATGCGGAGATGTATGGATGTGAAGGAGGCGAGAGAGGTGTGTCAGGATCGTGCCAAATGGAAGTCTGTAGTCTCTGCCTACCCCTCTGGGTGACAGGCGTGAGTGTTTATGTTATGTTTTATTATGTTATTAAGACATGAATAAGCATTCGTAAAAAACTTAGCGTCTGTCCGTGTTAAAATTCTAAAAGGTTGAACCGATTATGATGAAACTAACAAACGTATAATAATAATGTCCTCCAGAGCGAATTTTGATCAAGGCGGTCACGTGACCAAGTGTATGCGCAAGCACAGGTGCACTCTCTATTCCCTCACTCTCATAATCTGATAGGACAGTAAGCCAACACGACCAGAAAGAGATCAGACGCAGGACCAACGGCTTTACGAGTTTTCCGAGGCGTGAGGGTGAGACGGTGAGGCTTCGGTAGGCTATTGACAAGTTCTTGACGGAACAATTCAATAATTGACATTTTTACCCAACCCGGGATTCGAATCCAGGACCTCATGATCAGCAGTCGCACTACTACAACCACTAAAACAAGACCAAGACCACTAATGCCAGAAGTGCTCTTAGCTGTATTTTATATCCGTCAAATGGGTTAATTGATAAAATAAATAGTCATTGATGATTGATTACTTTCAAAAATCAAAATTACTCCACAGGCGAAACCGCGAAGCGAAAAGGGGAGAGTTATGTACATTAAATAAAATTATACTGAGAGCTAGTATGTACATAAATAAAATTATACTTTATTTCAATTCATCATTGAAGCGCCAGTAGCCTAATGGCAGGGCGCGGACCGCGAACTCAAAAAGGTGGTGGGTTCGAATCCGCCATCGGACCGCGAACTCAAAAAGGTCGTGGGTTCGAATCCGCCATCGGACCGCGAACTCAAAAAGGTCGTGGGTTCGAATCCATTCGACTACTGGCATGAACCACTCGCAACACAAGCAATTTAAGCTTACCATGAGTGATTAAGGGGAATATTACTAATGTTTATAGCATTGTTAATATTCTTTTTTTTTTAAAAATCAATTCATCGGTTTTAGGATCTCAGAGTAAGTTCCCACTGTAATGAGACAAGACCTTTTAAGTCTGAATTTTTCGTTGTACTGCAGGTTGTAGAAGTAAAGAAGAAGAGCACATCACAATTTTTCAACTGGTCCGAAGATACCATAATAGGTTAATATTATAGTTCATTCTTTGTGACTTTAAAATAAAGAAAATTTAGTCAATTTGCTCGTGTAAGCATTATGTTAATATATAACTATATTTTCAATTTAGAGGAACAAAATGTAGTGCAAGAAGAAACGAAAGTTAGGAAAAAGAGAAAGGGGAAAAAAGGGAAAAAAGGGAAAAAGGGGAAAAAAGGGAAAAAAGAAAAGAAAGAAGAGGAGATACCAGATTTCGAAAAGGTAAATAAAATAAATGGAATATTATTTTATGACAGTTTAAGGATATTAAATCAACTTTTTCGGCCTAATGGTGTCGTAAGTGGAGATTATGCAGTACGGCAGAATAATGTAACAAAAATGTCTTCCAGAGCGAATTTCGGTCAGAGCGACCAGTCTTAACGGAGACTATTTATCTAGACAGGATTATATTTAAGTGAAGGCACAAAGACTTTATTTGCTATCCAAAGCACACTTTCTTTGCTATCCAAAGCACAAAGACTTTCTTTGCTATCCAAAGCACAAACACTTTCTTTGCTATCCAAAGCACAAACACTTTCTTTGCTATCCAAAGCACAAACACTTTCTTTGCTATCCAAAGCACAAAGACTTTCTTTGCTATCCAAAGCAAAAACACTTTCTTTGCTATCCAAAACACAAACACTTTCTTTGCTATCCAAGGCACAAACACTTTCTTTGCTATCCAAGGCACGGAGTTGTAACACCGCCAACTTCCTGACAGCTCTGCTATTGATAATTTTTTGTCAGAAAAACTCAATAACTGATAACCCAACCCGGGATTCAACCCCGGGATCTCAAGATCATCAGTTGCGTTTGCGACCCATAGACCAAAGAGGCAGTCTTCTATATAAAAATCTGTCTAGAAGAATCACCCACACGAAAACGTGCGGGGGTAGCAGAGAACCTTCGTTCTTTGGAAGTCGATTAAAAGTCAGTTAACTTGAACAATAGCATTAAAAAAATACGTCAATTCGATCATATGTAGCCCCAGTAATATAAAATTTCAACGTATATGATATCAGTTTTCCATTCAGCCCTCATGCAATAAAGTACAACGACACGAAACCATAAATTTACCTTTTCATTGACTTATACATCTATAAAAAAACTCGAAGTGTTCAATGCATCCCCTTCCAAACTGTACTTCATTGTTCGACATCGTGTAGAGCACACAAAGCGAAAGTTCTATCGAAAATATAGTAGTTTTAAAACACTTGTTGTCGTATATCATTGCTCAATAATTGTTAAGGCTTTTATCATTAAATATTTTAAAAAATGTTCTATGATAATCTTCTGCGTTAAAAAATTAAATTTTAAATGTTAAGCTTTAAGTTAAAATAGAAATTAAGACTTCAACAGTAAAGAGTGTTGTCACTGCTCTAGCCATTTGGAAGCGAAAGATTATATCTATAAGATAAAATAGATCATCTTTAAAAATATTAAAATTCTATCGCTATATCATATTAAAAATAAACGTAACAGCCTAAGAATTGGAAGAAGATGAACAGAAAAGAAAGAGAGGCCTGGCTTCTTCAGCGAATAGAAGATTGGAAAGCGGAAAAAGAAGCTGAAAAGTTAGTTTTATCATTCGTTATGTACTTTAGTTTGTTGATGATATATTTTATATGAGAAGTTTTAAATAGAAATATACATCTTTCTATGTAATTAGTTTCATCTTTCGTAATTCACTAGAATTAAATGTCAAATATAAGTAAAAACAATTGATATATTTGTATTTAGATCTAAACAGGTCAATATTGTTAAAATAAGTTATTAGCTACATGTGTTTGTAATATTAAACGCAATTTGTTGGTATAATGACGGTGAAACATTTTTAAAGATTCCATCAATTCCTGGGCCAGTTCATCAATTTTTAATCATAAGTGATCGTAACACACTATTTGTATAATTAGTTGTGTTAAATTGCTCCGATATTTTGCGTTTTAACTATTTCATATTTAATAATGGTAAGTGGATGACTCATAGGCACCTTTATCCTCGATTAATAATGAATCAAAATGCTGATTATGAGGACCCATGAGGACTAAGATGGAATGCGTCGTATCCAGTAAAAAGTGTCTTCGGTTCTTTACACTCACCGTACGAAACATAGAAGCATTAAACTGCTGTTTTACATTAGTAGTCTGTGAAAGCGCGGTCCTTTCCTGGTCGAGCCAACCCATTTGTGCAACAACCACAATGAAGCTGTAGCATGGGCTCTATCACCTTCCGAAATACATAAGTTTCATTTTCTTGTAATATAATAAATGTAAATAAATATACTACATTTTTCTATGGTCACGTATCTGCGTGATAATGAAGAGTTTACGAGTTGCCAGTGATTACATAAATATCCGAGAAGTGATCCTTCAATGTTGGCCGTATAAAAAAGCTCAAAGCCTGTGCTTTGTGGTATTCCTAGGGCGAGATCAATGTTAAGCGGAGGACTTGTGATGAGCTGTAATGTGACTTTGTCGCACTTGCTAATACTAAAAAATTTAAACAAGTTTCTGGATTTTACAGACAAGCAATCCTCGCTGGCGCTAAGGAGAAGCGGTTAACTGAAGCGAAGGCACGGGCAGACCTGATGGCTAAAGACGAAAATGAGCAAGAGATCAGGAAAGATTTATTAGCGAAAACTGTAACGCTCTTTCATAGTTAGTTCAATATTTTTTAAACTTTTCTAAGCACATTCTTGTATTCAAATTTTGGAATAGCAGGTTCGTTGGCTTGACAGGCTGAACTGAAAGAATTTAACGTTAATGGTTTGGATGTCGATGTCGTACAAAGGGTTTTATCAGACCCCAAATCAAGGAAGTCAAGATTGTTATTCCGGTTTACTACTAGGATGGAATAATTCACATATTCAGTATAAATGAAAGTTTATTTTAAGTTTAGTAATTTAATTAGTTTCATATTTTCTTTCACAGTGTTAGCAGTAATTAGTATGAGATATGATGGGATTCACATGGCGTTTCGAGATAAATACCAAAAAAAGAGGAGAAAAAGTTTTTAGGCTTGTGACTTAACCTACCAGAAACAGCAACAATAAATGATTTGTCGGTTTTTTCAAACTTTATTTTATAAAAATGAAGTGTCAAACAAATTCACAGTCCACCTGATTGAAAGCATCTTCTGCAGCCCACGGAGACGTATATTTGAGTTATATATGAGTTTTCACCTCTCCAAACTAAGACAGAATGCCTCCTAAGCTTTTAACTGTACTTGCTCCCTATTTCCTTGAAACATTGCTATTTGTTAGCGGAAATAGACACAGCGCATATTTATCCTTATTTGTTTGAAGTTAGCTGCAGATATCTATGAACTGCAGCAGGTAGTTACCATCGGTTGGAATGTACGATGGTCACTCTATTTTTTTTCGGAGTTAGTCTGCCGAGCTGTTTTAGTTCATGTTGGGGGTCTTCATAGTATGTCGTCACAATTTTTTCCTTCACCCCTAAGACCATGGTAAAGTACAATAAAGTTACAGCCTATATACGTCCCACTGATGGACACAGGCCTCCTCCCACTTCTGAGAGGGTTTACGCCAAGAACGTGGAAATTAAAAGATGCAGTAAATCAATACAATAGCACTGACGTGGTAGAGCCATGCTGCAGTTATATTAGTAGTATAGTTGTAGCACAAGTGGGTCGACTCGACCGGAGAAGGACCACGCTCTCACAGAATACGAGCGTAAAATAGTAGCTTAATGCTGCTGTGTTTCGTATGGTGAGTATAGAGAACCGAAAGACCCTTTTTACTGGAAACGAGGCAATCCATCTTAGTCCTCATGAGTGACAACGCATCTGCATTTTGATTGGTAATCGAAAATAGATGTAGATGTCTATGGGCCACAGCAACTACTTACCATCAGGTGACTGTGTGCTCGTTTGTCACACTATCCTATTAAAAAAAACTAAAAAAATTACCACACACTCTTGTGATAGAGTGTGCCGTGTAGTGGCGGTATAAGAATATCCACTACCGCATACCATCCTGTGGGTATCGTAAGAGGCGACACGGGGAAACTGAAACAGGCGATGGGCAGCTGCGTCTTCCTGAAAACGACTAAAACAAAAAACTGCGGTTGTCAACCCACTTGCCAAGCCTGGCAACTATGGCAAATATCCCTCCTATAAAATAATCTAAGGGGTAGGCCCATGTTTACCAGTGGACTTAATAGGCTGTTACGGCACGGTTGTGACAAAGTTTCTTTCCACCCTAAAGACAGTAGATTTAGGCCTTTCGATAAGCTTTCGATGAGCTAACTGTCAGAACTATTTTTTCGCCTAGAAGTAAGCCTGGATATCTACTCTTCTCTCTGCTAGCAAATTCATTCAGTTTTTGAAAAAATATTTTCAAAAACTGAAGTAACAAACATTATAAGCGACAGTAGCCTAGTGGCAGGGCGCGGACCGCGAACTCAAAAGGTCGCGGGTTCGAATCCACCACTCGACTACTGTCGTGAACCACTCCTAACACAAGCATTTTCAGCTTACCAGGAGTGGTTAAATGGAATATTAGTAATGTTAATTAATAGGATTACTAATATCTACACTTAAAAAAAACACTCCACCTAATGGTACCAAGTGGTAGAGCAACACTGCAGCTGTGTTATGGTTGTAACATGGGTCGTCTCGACCGGAGAAGGACCACTTTCTCACAGAATACCAACGTAAGTAGCTTAAGGCTGCTGTGTTTCGTATGGTGAGTGTAGAGATTCGGAGAGACTTCTTTCCTGGGGACGAGGCAGTCCATCTTAGTTCTCAGGGGTGACAACGCATCTTTCTTTTGATTCTTAATCGAGGATAAGTGTAGATGTATATGGGCTACAGCATCCACTTACCATCAGATGGACTCTTTGAGTTTGAATTCTCAAAGAGTGGACTGTGTACTCGTTTGTCACCCTTATTCTATAAAAAAACCAACTGCAACTAATTTCAAATAAAAAGCTATAGGTGTGTCGTTACTTTATAGACCAGGATTTAATGCCTTTCAGTCTGTAATTATACTCTGGAGACTGACACACATATGTAAGAGAATGGTACTTACCCAGATGGTGAGCCGGATAATCATTATTACCACTTAGCAGATGCGTGCGAATTTATATATACTTTTTTTGTTTTCAGAATTTGAAAAAGAGAAGTTGAATTATCAAATGAAGAAACAGCTTAAGGCCGAAGTAAGTGCTTCAAACTGATAATATTGTCCTCTGTGTATGAAATCTGTCAATTACTTTGTTTAATTTTCAGTTTACTATTTATTTAGATGTATGATATAATAGATGTCGTTGCGTACAAAGCTTCCGTCATTTATATCGCGCTGTAGAGATTTGTTTTGAATCTTAATAATATATACAAATTACGTGTCACGTTGTTTATCCGAGATGAACTCCTAAACTACTTAACCGATTTTAATCAAATTTGCACACCGTGTGCAGTTTGGTCCAACTTGAGAGATAGAATAGTTTTTTTTGCTAATTTAAGGATTTTAATAGGACATGACAAAGAGTCGTCGAAAAGGGCAGAACAACGTCTGCATGACAAGCTACAGTAGTATACAAGATTTCTTCAAATAATATGCAATACTTTTTGACTTCTACTGCCAGTGTTACCAACTTTTACTAACTTACCTTTACTTTACTTACTTTTACTTCAACTGTTAACATTTAGTATCTTACTCCATTCTATTTATATTCTATTACTACCTTGCAAAGAAAATCTACCAACTTTTCGAATTTTTGAAAATTTTGATCCTATCTGAAAAAATTCCCTTCAATTTTTTTTCATCAATCTATCTTTCTATTTATCTAATCCCTTATACTAAACTTATCATGATTCGTTTTGCAATTTTTGATTTTTTTGTATCTATTTTGGGAATTGATGATCAAAGATCCTTCTTTCAGATATTTCACCTCTTTTTATAAGGAACCCTCCTTATAAAAAGAGGTGAAATATTTGTTATCCATTAGAAATATTAATTATGAGTATTACATTATTATTGAGTGGTCTCTAGAAAACTTAAAAAATATATTGATTGGTAGGGAACTACAAACTTCTGAAATCATATCTACCTTCGAGACAAACTTCGAGTTAGTAACGCTACCTCCTGCTAACTGATAGTTGGATTTAGTCATTTAGTGGATGTTATTTCCTAGCGACTATTTTTAGAATATGTACATACTTATCCATTAGTCTCCTCACCTCCTCTATGGATTGCCTTATTGGGTAGATTTTAGCCATAGCTGCCACGGTTAAAGGAGTGGGTTGGCAACCGCAGTTATTATCAGCAGATGTGACCGATCTCTTTTCAATTCCCTCTGTCACCGCTTACTCTTAAAATCTCTTACGCTGTTTCACTTTAATATAATAACTTTGTTTATACTTTCTTATTTTTTCTCACCAGTTAATCGCTATTTGTAGGATTTTATTGTAAATGTCACTCTTATTTTAATCTGCAGGACATTTTGCAATATCACGTTTATTTTTTTCACAGTGGCAACAGTACCTCCGCTGTGACGGTCTCCCAGATCCTCGAATCGTCACGCAGATGAACACTTACTTGCATATTTGGAGAGAGAAGAACATGTGTGACGATGAGGAGCTGGAGAAACGTTGCTTGGAGGTTCTACCGGTATGTGCTATTGACAATTATATCTTACATCTATTTTTTTTAAAAATTACGATTTAGTCTCCTCTCAATATCGATTATCCATTTGGCAATTTTCTCGAATGAAAAAATGTCGTAGACCCGCAGCAGTGTCGCAGCTTCAAACAAATAAGGCCGATGCAGATGCAGGAGACCGAGTTGAAATGCCTTACAGTCTGTAAACTTGCCGAGTCTCTTGTCCTTCAGCAATGGATGTACTTCTAGTAAATATTTGGCCTTTACCTATGAAAATTTTCTCCATTTTTATTTCTGATAATTAAAGTAATCAATCGATACATCTTTGTCAACGCCGTGGCAGTTTTTTGAATCTTGAAGAAATAACTGAACGGGAGCCAACAAATTCTGCAAAGGCGTTTTTACTGCCTCTTGGGTATTAAATTTTTATCCCGCCAAAAAGTTTAACAAATTCTGGAAAAAGTAGAAGTCTGTAGGCACAAGGTCTGGTGAGTACGGCGGATGAAGAAGAGCTTCCAACCCTAGCTTCAAGACAATCGAGCACTGGCGGGAATAGAGCACTTGCCTATTTTTCAAGCCAGTGACCTCCGCCCGTGTGCCCCGCAACCCCCACGCCAGAATAAATAATTATGTAATATAAAAATTTTACTAGTGATATTGTACAAATTCCTATATTTGATGTATGTAGGTATATAATAAACATTGTTTTTCAGATAATTTAAAAATTATTAATTTAATACAACGATTTACAAGAATAATCTAGGAATAAAATGAATCTATTTGGTCTCATCTAAACAACACAGGCCAGGCCAGCGTTGGCTTCTCTGAGGACTAGCGCCAGCGTTACTGGCTTCGTCTAAACCTTGCTTTAAATTCATGGGGCACCCATTTGTCAAACTTTTTACATTGCCAATTTAACGCAAATGGACCAATATTGTTTTGATGCTAACTTCGACAACTGGTGCTAATTCAAAATTAGAATTCTTAGCCAAACAAAAATTATTTTGATTTGAAATGACCATTACTACAGAACGGTAATTTAATATGTAAAGATCAATTAGATAGCTCTAACAATTGGAGATTACGGCATAAATAGATAAATAAGCTCTTACATTCTTATTTGTAATTAATAAAGAGGTACAAACTCAGTATTTTTTTATCACTAATTAATTAATAATTAGCCTGTGGAACAAGACAGACCAATCGTCTGCGCAGGATAGGAGTGTGCGCGCACGCATAGGTGCACTTTTATGTTTCACTCGCATAGTCCGGTAGGAAGGCAAACCGACACGACAGATAAGACATCCGGACCAACGGCATCACGTGTTTTCCAAAGTCTGAGAATTTCTTAACAGAAATGCAAAATCAAAGTCTTTTCTTAATAAAATGCAAATTTTAGATATATTATGCAATATGACTGGCTCGATGGTCTAGTGATCGTAAACGTGCTTTCTGATCCAAGACTAAATATATAATAGAAAAGATTTCAAGTCCATGAGGGACTTGGATTCAAATCCCGGGTCGGTTAAAAAATTATTGGGTTTTATTTTTTTTAAAGAATTATTTTTTGTTTTACCGCCGTGCCTCGGAAACCACGTAAAGTCGTTGGTCCTGTGCCTAATGTCTTTACGGTCGTACTGGACGTCTTGGATTACCGTTCAATCGAACTATGAGAGCTTGCGAATATACTCGGGAACTTTAATCCTCTACTGCGCACATAGCTGATTTCCGTTGACACTGGTCATCATACCCGTAATTCGGTGTGGAGGACGTTATGGTTACTGTTAAATACAATGACAAACAACTGATTGTGTGTTGTCACTAAGTTTTATTTTTCATTTAGCTATAATTTACTAGATTTTCAGTTAAATTAATTTTGCATCATACAGCTTTTTTATCTGTCGCTCATTTCAATCGGAAACGAACTATAAGAATACGTTCGTTTCACCCTGGTTTGATGATCAATCATTGAATGTCTTTTTGTTTATTAAAAAGGGTGACAAACGAGCACACAGTTCACCTTATGGTAATTGAATGCTGTAACCGATAAGCATCCACATCTATCCTCGATTAAAAATCAGAACGCAGATGCGTTGTTAACCCTAAGGATTAAGTTGGAATGCCTCGTTTCCAGTAACAAATGGTCTCCAGATCTCTATACTCACCATACGAAACACAGCTGTATTTAGTAATCTGTGAAAGCGTGTTCCTTCTTCGGTCGAGCCGACCCGTTCGTGCTACAACCATAATATAGCTTCAACATGAGCCATGAAGTATGTATAAGTAGTATATAAGTCAATGGCTCTCCTTCATTAATTGTAATGATTGGCAATCAGCCACAATCGCTTCGTTGCGTAAATTTTTGTACGCGCACTTTATCAAATCACCTTTATAGATGCTGGAATTGCTTGACGACATACTATCTGATTCCCGACAGTACACCGAGTTGCAGATGCAGAACTTTAAGGAGGTATGTGTTTATTATCATTTCTTTTATTACAAGTTCTTATTTGCCTTGCATTCTTTGAGTGTATTTCCGGATCAAAATTTGTATTCAATATTTGAAGCACTTGGTGATTATCCGATTGACCTAAAATGTGACATAATTTTGTAACTTTTATATGTACTATAAATGTATGTAACGTATTGCATTGTCATGGCACTGATCTGATGATAGACCTGAATGTTGGCCCTAGCAATATACCTATAAAGCTTGTTCTTAATAAGATTTTTTTATTAAGCAGTAAAGGTGAAATTAGAGCACACAGTCTACCTGGTGATAAGTGGATGCTGTGGCTCATAGATATCTACATCTAGTGTCAATTAAGAATCAAAATGCGAATCCATTATTACCCCTGACGACTTATATTAGAATTACTCTTTACCAGTATGAAAAGTTTCTAGACTGGTAAAGAGACGAGTGAAAACACACCAGTAATAAACTCTAATACTAAATTGTTATTCCAAGAAATGTGATCCTCCCTGGTTAAGACGGTCCATTTGTGCTACAGACGTAATACAGCTGTAGCATCATACCTTTACTACAAGAAAAAATCGCAATATTAAAAAAACTACATTTTTTAAACACATCTTTTTCTTAGCTATAACTATATGATTATCTATATCATCATTACAGCCCCTCATTAGTCCACTGTTGATCATAGATTTCTCTCAAGTATTCCCATAACGCAGTGATGAGCCACCTGCGTCCATCGACTTTCTGAGTGTATTACCAGATCGTAACATCACGAGGTTACTTTTCGCCATTATCGGTTGTCGATTCTTAGAGCTTCTTTTTAAAACTTTTTTTTAATTAAAGTGGCAAGTGAACTAACCGTCTACCTGATTGTAAGTGGTTACTGCAGGCCAGGCTAAAATATTACTAGCTGGCTAAGCAGAAGTTCTCCGGTAGGTGGCGCGATTGTATTACGAATTCAACAGCGTCCCCAAGCGGAGCAGATTTTGTGATTTTCTTTTTTATCACTAATTTGATATTGTGGATTTGAGGGGAATACGTGAATATCTTGACTACTGCTTTACATATAGGACCCTTGAATAGCATGGACTATCGCCTCAGCTATGCAAATATATTGTGCAAATATAAGCTCACAAACGGATACTAATATGTAAAGATAATCCATAATTGCAGGTTCGTCTAGCCCTTCGCCAGGAACTTTCTAATGCTATCCACTTCGCCTCGTACACTCTCCTCCGGGATCTCGAAAATCGATTTAAATGGGAATCTATTAAGGTGGCCAGTTACCAACGTGAATTTAAAGGCCTCCGTTTAAACCTTTGGGTGGCAGTCAGATTGCCTACTAGAAAACCAAAACCAGTAGAACCAGAAAGGTAATTTTCGTTTGAAAAAATTACAAACAATAAAAAATACCTACGTATCTAAAAGAATAGACTTAAGAAAAGTTGATAAGCTAAAATTAAAGTGAATCAGGTATATTTTCTTTACAATAACCTTGGTATGGATATGAATTGAATGAAGCTTGTTTTTAACAAAAGATTTTATGTTTCTGTATCTAGTTTATTTCCGGCTGGGTTTTTTCTCATTCATTATAATTTGAGGTTCGTTATATATTATAACATATGTTACCCACGATATTTTGTAAAGATTGGCTAGACATACATCCCTTCTTTATTTCTTTAATTCTCTGATGTTGACGGTTACTGCCGAATACAAATACCGTCAATACCGTCAATGTCAATACCGAAACCAAAAAGATCATCGTTTAATGTTTTATTATTAGAGAGCCAGTTGAACTATCATTTCCCACCATGAAGGTGAGTATCAAGCTGCCAAAGACAATCGATGGATCCTGCGTTTGCGTCAGAGCAGCCCGTTCCATGATCGATCTACTGAGCGAGGGTTCACGAACTTTTGCCCTTGCCGCTGACATACCTAATAAGTATGAAGGTAAGAAGTAATTTAAAAAAATCATCATCTGATTTCTGTGTCATTACTATTGATTTTAGGCTTTCCCCATAAATCGTATTTTATCGCATCCATCACGGGGAGTGCTCTGAGGAATTGTTCGGATTAATCCCAGCCGCCAAATTTCGTGAACGCACTACACGGCAAACGTCCCGATACCATCCACACCATCTGGATGCTTGGCGGTCCACCACTGTAAGTTTCAAAAGGAGTTTTCTTCCGCGTACAACCTCTCTGTGGAATAATTTACCACCGGTGATTTTTCCGGACCGATACGACCTGGGGACCTTCAAGAAAAGAGCTTACTCCTTTCTAAAGGGCCGGCAACGCACCTGCAATTCCCCTGGTGTTGCGGTTGATTATGGGCGGCGGTAGTCACTTAACATCAGGTGAGCCACATGCTCGTTTGCCCCCTCTTCTATAAAAAAAAAATCGCCACAAAATATGATCCTCAGCTACTTGCATTCTTATACCAGCGCCAGATGAAAATCTGGTCATTCCGTGGAATTGAGGGATTATCCAAGACTGTGGTTGCCAGCATGAGGTCAATATCAATTGGTCGAATGCAAATTCAAAACCATTCTTTTTAAAAAAGTAAGTTATTTTTATATAAGTAAACAAGGCGGCCCGTTGTTACTTTAATTTTATAAAAAAGACATGAGGTGAATAAGCAATGACAATTCGTTTAAAATTCCATTAGCGCCGGCGAAGTTCGCTGTAGTTTTTTTTTTATTATCCTCTGCATTGTGGCTTCTTAACCTATTAATAATGTTCTCCTGACCGAATTTCAATCGCGATGGCCAGTCTCAACGGAGAACTTTGTATGCCCAAACAAAGGTGAACTTTCTATTCTCTCAAATTCAAAGACCGATGGGACGGAATTCCGATACGACCGAACAGAGATCAAGCGCAGGACAATTGGTTTTACTTACCCCTCTATTAGAATAAGAGTAATAGAAGAGTAACCTAGTGGTTTTATTTACACGCTGAAGTATATTTTCAGATCTATATACATTTAATATCGAAGAACATAAAGCAGTGTACAAATTGAAGAAAGAGCAGGATGACATACGTGATAAATTCTACAAAGAAGTTAAGGAAAAAATAAAAGAATTAGAGAAGTTTTTAAAAGCTAACCCGTAAGTGTAAATCTTATATCATTATCTTTATATGTATATATATATATATATATATATATATATATATATATATATTAACGCCTTTTTTTATTTGCCCGTCTGGGTTGATTCCACTAACTTCTGCTAGCAAGTACACTCTGCAGTCTTTTCTCTAAAATTCTGATCAGTAACATTCAGACTAATTTTATATAGCAATAAAAACGGAAACTTTGGATCCTGTAGTTGTGCGTGTACAACAATTTCTTAATGTCGTGGCCAGATAGTATATTTGATCATATTTATCATGAAGTGATCACGAATAGTCGGACAATTTCATGATGTAGGCAATTCTTTATGACAATCTTTTTAATTCTTCTGTACATGTATTTGTCACTCAACTGCTTCGGAGCAGCTCGACAAATTTTAATGAATTTTTTGCGTTGATTAAAACCACTTTTACGGATTTTATCGCGTTTAATTAACTTGATTTCCTTTATTCCCGACGTTTTGGGTCCTTTCCAGCACCCATGCTCACCGGGAACTGAGGTGACTGACGTCCCGGTGTTAACCCGGAGTACCTTCAGCTTTTTAATTATTATTTATGGTCTGATCTACACAGAATGAACTTACTATGTCTCGGGTTTAGTTTTAATTTTATTGATAACAGGATCCCAAGCAAGTGGTAGTACCCAGGCTCCTTCTCTGTTGAAATTAGGATGTATTTTTGTTAATTTTAATAACATCACGTATCATCCTAGGTAAGCATCGATGTACTTTCGCGAGGATTTGTAGTCTATCAAATCTGTGGGGGCCAGATTCAAAAAATTTACTTAGGAGCCCTCTTACATTTCGGCGTTACTCAAATTTAGGTATTTTACGCACCGAGCGATCGGCAAACTACGCGAGCGATACTTTCTTTCATATCTATTCACTCGCTCGCACTATTATACTGTGAGTATAGCGACTAAATGGTCCTGATCCTCCATAATACAAGTTTCCTTAGGATGGTGATAGTTCAGTGGATGGAAAATTTTTGATGTGTTCTTTTTTACGTTATCTAATTAATTTATTATAATCTATTTTGATATATATTTTTTTTATTATTTATGAACCTTAGTGTTGAAATAAGTACACATAAATATTTTAATAGTTATGCTGTAATCGGTTGTTAACCGATGTTGGTTAATAATTGATTATATCTACTAACGGTAGCATATTGGTATAAATAAATAAATAGTTGGATTGCAACCTGTGCAAACAACCAAATGGAACTAATATTTTTTTAATCGGTACTTACAGTCAATTATCATATTTTTATTATAAAAATATTTACCGCAACGGTATTTACCGGGCTTATCTCGAATCGATAATTTCAGGCAATACACACTTTTCATGAAACGTTTGTGACTTGTTTAACATATTCAAAATCCAAAATTGGTCGTATTTGAAGATTTTCAGTACTTTTACCAGTAGTCCATATGGCAAGCATGCAGACATTTTTATTCTCCATTATTATTTCTCTAGAGATAGGATATTTCTTTTATTACGTTGAGTGATAATTGTATTTATTTTCCCCATTCCGACTGATAAGAAAGCTTGGCTACAATCAAAATAACTATAATGAGTTAACTATTTGGTATAATAATAATATGCGAACTTTATACTAAGTGATATATACTGTACGAAAATAAATACTTCCAACGATGAAAAACTGCGGGCGTGGTAGACGATGCTTTAGCACACAAAAATCGACGCACACTACGATAGTATTAAAACGAAGCAGCGTGCGAATCAACTGACGCAGGTCCAACCTCGACAAGCGCCTCCGTTATAATGATCTCAGATATTTTTTTTGCGCCCGAAGCAAATATGGGCAACCCTCCGGAAAGCGGGGGAGGGAGGTTGGGAATGCTCATAGCATACCACGCAGCCGGCTGCGTGGTTATGTGGTGACTTTTACCCACTAAACCCAACCTTTTAGGAATTGGCTTAACGATCTGACTAGAGATCTCTAAGCCGTATACGAACGCTACCCTCCTTGGCAGAAAGGAGGGCGCAAGCGGCGAACAGCCACTTAGAAGAGTGCCTAACTAAGGCAGATTAAGGGATGTGTTATGTAGGCTCGGCCTGAGCCGCCAGGAGGCAGTTCAGGTCAGCCGAAAGCTTGTTGGGGGGGTCCGAGAGAGAGTTTCTCGGTCTGCGCACACTATAGCGAGTGTGGATAGGGGCTGCATAGGCAGCTGTCTCACGAATGAGATGATTTGAGTGGGACTCTAAGGCTTTGAAAAATCTCTCAGAGAGTGATTTAAGGAACTGCTGGATTGTTGGGAGCTCTAAGTCTCGATGTAGGTCGGCATTACGGACATAATAGGGCGAGTTAGTGGCCCTACGACAGAATAGATTTTGAACTATTTGAAGTTCATTTATAGCTTTGGGCTTAGCATGTGCGAAAATGGGGGCAGCGTAGGTCATGACAGGTCGTATGCAGACCTTATATAGGGTTCGCTTGTTGCGGAGGGACATTTTACTGTGTCTGCCCAACATGCTGTTGAGCCTACCCATGTAAAAACGTGCGGTGCGAGTAACTTTCTTGATATGGGGCTCAAAGTGAGCCTTGCATCAAGGGTGACGCCTAGGTATTTGGCTTTAGTTTGCCATGGGACAGGGGTTCCTAACATCCTGATTGGCGGAGTGGTGGTGAGACGACGTCGTTTATATTCGAAGCAAACGGCGAAGCTTGTCTCCGGGTTTACGTCGATACGCCATTTTTGGAACCAAGCTCCTAAGTCGCTTACTGACTTTTGGATCTTGTTCCGAATCTGTGGTAGTGAGTTGCCTTTAGAGTAAAGGGCTGTGTCATCTGCAAAGTAGGCTAGTTTAACACCATTCGACGGGATAGGGATGTCGTTGGTGAATAGTATGTATAGGAGGGGAGCAAGCACAGAGCCTTGAGGGACACCGGCTTTTATTTGACGGGTAGAGGATAGCGTGCCTTCGTGTCTATAACGAAAGGTACGATCCTTCAGATAGGAGGCTACAAGGCGTACGAGACGGTCCGGGAGGCCTAAGTCGTACAGTTTGTAGATAAGGCCCTCGTGCCAGACTCTGTCGAATGCCTTGGCAATGTCAAAGAAGACCGCGATGGTTTTTTGACGGCAGAGTAAAAACCGCTGAGGATGTATTCCACTATGCGGTGAACTTGTTGGGGGCACGAGTGTTTGGCTCGAAACCCGAATTGTTGTGGGATGACAAGAGGGTCGCCGTCTGTGGGAAACAAATGGCGCCTCAAGCGCACGAGAATGACTCGTTCGAAAAGTTTGCCCATGGCCTTGAGGAGGCTGATGGGACGGTGATTGGAGGGGAGGTGGTGAGGTTTGCCTGGCTTGGGAATGCCAATGACAGTTGCCTCTTTCCAAGAGGTGGGAAAGTAACTGAATTCGAAGCAGACGTTAAAGATAATGGCCAGTAAGGCGATTACCTGCTCCGGGAAGTGTTTGAGGGCTTGGTTGGAGATACCATCCGCACCTGGTGCTTTTTTGGGCTTAAGTCCTTTGATGGTAGATGAAATCTCATCTTTGGACACAGTGATAGGGTCAGAGGCGGTAGGGGGCGAGTTCCTGCGTCGGACCTCGTCCTCCACTAGTTTGATGTGTAAGGGGTCAGTGGGTTGTGAGCTAGGAGAGCATTGAGCGGCGACGCTGTCAGCGAAGCATCAGCCTTTTCTTCGTCTTCGAAGGCAATGGAGCCGTCGGGACGAGACAGAGGGGGAGTATGGGTTATAGCGTCTATCCGGAGGGCTCTCGCCATCCGGTAGTACGCTGTGTGGGAGGGAGAAATTTTCTCCATGAGATTGCCCTTTTCGTGGTCTCTGTAATCTTGGAGGCGGTAACGCAGTTTGCGTTGAAGGCGGTGGGCCGCGAGTCTATATTCGGGAGTGGGATAGCGTGCAGCTCTACGGAGGGCAGCTTTTTTGGCTTTTAACAGGTTGCTAATATCTAGGGGAAGACTAGTTTTAGCAACCGGGACAACTCTTTCTCTTTAAGAGAGGATGTTATAAGTGAGGTGAGATTTTCGACCGCGGTGTCTATTTTCCCCGTACTGTCGAGGGCGTCAGAAGAAAGGGTTATGGGAGGGTCCGGAGAGTCTATAGCCGAGGCTAGAGACTTCTTGAAGCCCTTCCAGTTGGTGTAGGTTTTGGAAGTGGGAGTTGGAGATGGCTGATGGCCAAGAAGGAGGGATACAGGACGGTGGTCGGATCCTAGATCATCGAGAGACTCGATTGCTCTAAAGTTAAGGGAAACTCCTTTAACTAGAGCAAAATCTAGCACATCAGGAGCGTAGGTAACAATGTCGGGATAGTGGGTGGCAGTGAGGGGGGCTGTAGACAGTCAGGTCGAGAGACTGAGTGATATTGAGCAGCACCCTGCCAATACTGGTAGTAGTGCGGCAGGTCCATTCAGTATGCTTGGAGTTAAAGTCTCCAAACATAATGACTGAGTCGCCTAATGCAATCTCAGATATCCGGCGCAGTGAAATATATAGTACTTTTGAATTGAATTATGTCGATTTTTTTCTTACGTGTAAGGCATATAAAGAAAATGTATTCTATTATTATTAAAGTAAGTAAAGGATATTTGTAAAATAAAAAAATTTATTCTGACGGTCGATATTCAATAGAATCTACAAATTAGAGCTTCTAAATCATGTTTCTGAGAGTTTTCGCGGATATATATTTCCTTGTCCTAAAACCCTCTCAGAAATGAGATAAAGCCTGTGCCTAGCTGTGGGACATATATAGGACTTTTCTTTTATACGTGCCATTTTGACCTACCAACTTCCCGTAATAGAGCAAAGTGCCATTTACTCTACGTCCGGGATTCGATCTTTGTTCTACATTCTTGTCATGTCTACCATTTCTGGTAAGGACACATCTTTAATACACAAACCCATTCACTTGCTCAACCAACTTCCCTTATTTCAAATATAGGTTTACTGTCTCCTCTTTCAAAATACATCACTTTCGTGTAACTGGCGTTAAATACATTTATTTCAGATATGCAAAAAACGATAAGGAGAGAGAAGAATTGGATAATTTGAATATAGCGGAACCGGAAAGTTTGCCTGATCCAAGAACGTTTGTTGGAGAACAAAACGGTATGTTTGTTTACATAGTACAAAATACAGAATTTGTTTTTTTTACAGAACAAGGCTGATAAACGAGCACACATCCCTCACATTGATGGTAAGTGAATGCTGTGACCTGTGTGCGGTGGCAAGATGCGTGGTACATTTATTCTAAATTACGAATAAAAATGCAGATGCATTGTCACGCCTGAGGTCTAAGATGAAATGTCTCGTAACCAGTAATAAGGTTCTCCGACTCTCTACCATACAAAACACAGCAGCATTAAGCTGCTATTTTGCGTTCGTACTCTGTGAGTGCGAGGTCCTGTCCCGGTCGGTCCAGACCCATTCGTGCTACAACCATAATATAGCTATAGCATGGCTCTACCAAGTAAAAAGTATCTCCGGTTCTCGTCAAAACCTAGCAACTAAGTGCTATTTTACGCTGTTATTTTGTGCAAAGGCTGTCCAGCTTCGAACTTTTGATTATATAAGTTTAATCTCGTTTTTATTCTGAAATCAAAATATTGAGCAAAAATATAAGATTACAATATCAGGGCATACCGATGAACTTAAATATCGTCATTTAAAATACATTCTGTATCATAAACTTACGTTTTTTTAATGTGTGATTAAGCTTATTTTTCCGATGCTTCAGTATCTTCACTCGTAATAGTCGAATTAGAGATATGCCAAAAAATCATGACTACTGATAGAGACAGTGTAATATGATAGCGACCAATGGTGCGAGATGACTGACACGTAGTTATTCTACTCTATGACTCGGATGCATATATAGTACTCTGTGTTTATGACTGTCACTACGATCCTTAATCCGCAAAAAAGGCAAATCCTACCAATGGGGGAGATGCCCCAGAAGAATATGTACATATTCTTACTAAAATAAATTTAAGAGCAAATCCAACGTCAAAAACGTATTTTCTTATCCCGAAATTGATTTTTATTTCTCTAGAACAAGCCTTTACAAAATACCTCAAACTGTGCTCGATCAAGACGAAGACCGGCGAAGTCAACCTGCGTAAGTACAGGTAGGTGTATCGAAAAGTATAATATAATAGCAGATTAATTTTTGAAATATCTGTTTTTCATATTTAATAATTATTAAAACAATAGTATAACAATACCACAGCATGCCCTGAATAGCACTGGACATTTCCAGATGTTTCCAAAATCGAAGGCCACAAATCATGTGTGTAAATTTTAAGAACTTCCACTATTGACTTGTTCTCGACGGTAACAATCGAGACATATTTCAATAATTATTTTGAGCCAGAACTCTGTTACTCGTACTGAGAATGTGTTCGATTGCTTTTTATCGGCAGCACGATACGAATACACATACCAACTCCTACAATAGGGTATTTTACATCATACAAAAAAAAACATATACTTATGATAGGTTTTCTAAAAATTAAACGAGAAATATTCAATTTTAAGAATAATTTTTATGTGTGCCTTAAAACTGCAAAACGCCATATTAGATTCCGTCGTGCCGTCACTGGTTAACTGAACTAGCTAATGTGCTGTGTGTTATTTCGAAATTTCTCAAGTTATCATGAGTTTTATTCCAAATTATATTGAAAAGGCATAATAGAAGACGGATTCGTAAAAGCAGAAAGTACTAATCTACCGGATATAAAAATAAATATTGATCGCTACATTCAATATAGTTTACAGTATATCGATATCAAATTGTAGATGTATAAGAAAGAATAGGGTATTACACCCATTTCCAAATAGTGTTTTAAATAAATCCTACAGTTGTAATGAACAACTAAAATTTTTATATAATTTTTTAAACCGAATTAAAGCCATAAAAATACTTTTAACTTATCTTTTTTAATTTTCGCGCGCAAACGCTATGTCCTAGGATTTTGACGATTTTGCAAAAGAATAGATATTTTTGGATGTTTATTAATGAGTTACTTATCATCTTTATCACTAGGGTGTTGTACCTGAATACAAAAATACGAGCATAAGAACGCCCGGGAAGTTATGGATTCAAGTGCTAACTGATTTAAATATGAGAAATGCATGATTAAAACTGGCAAGAAGATACCCGAATACATTGTTTACAAAATCTAGACTATACTTCTGTGCAGATTGTTTTGATGTGTAGGTGCCGAGTGCGATAGATTCCACCCAAGTCATTCCACGATTTCTAAGACAGCGTCGTGATTCTGTCCGTTGTGGTGTGGTCCTCTGGTGGGCGCACGAAGGAAAGTGTTGCTGGGAGGGGGAAGAGTCTGATCTGTGTTGCACTGAGACATGTAGTATTGATGTTGGTTTGCATACTTTGGTGTTACCATATAATTACGTCATTCATGTTAAACCAATGTGTAATTGTGACGGTGACATATTACGATATGGTCGAACTCTGATTGCCTTTAGTACGCTGTTTTATCGGTGATAATAATAATTGCGTCAACAAGAGACCAAGGCGAGCATCCGATCTCACGCTTTTACTATTTTTACCAATTAACCTCTCTTGTTGTAATTTCTATATCAAAATTGGGATCTCATGTTGTAAGTTTCTACATCTGAAGTGGGATAAAGTACCTGTCTCCGCCCAGATATAATCTTTAATTTCTCTGAGAGTTATTACGTTTGTGAAAGACTTGGCGGTGATGAGATTGTTATATTAAATGTTGTAACGTTTGCTGTCCTTTTTACAAATTTTACGTACCATTAAAGTGTAGAGTAAAAGATTAAAGTATAATATTTTTAGCCAAAAATTAAAATCTTTTTGTTCGATTTATATTGGGGGTACTCGCAAATACTTTTATAATTTCTGTATGTACCTATATATGTTAACGAGTGCTTAAAGAAAAGTTGAAAATACCTAATGACTTATCGTTTTGCGTCAAGTAGAAATTTAAACTGTTCAATTTAAGTTATAATTTGATAGTTCATGCGAAATATGATTTACATGGGGTACTTTTATTATTTTTAACAATTAACCTTCCCTGACATATTGCCGATAATTATATAAATTAGAGTGTAAATAAGCAAATCCCTATTATGTAAATGGCAACATTTCACCTTTATTCCCGACTGCCGATGAGTCGAATTGTCCAATTCACCGTTATTCGCTATTTGTAATTGTATTCTGACGTTTGAAGTTTGTACAATCAAAATAATATAGTGGTGCATTCATCATCCCAACTGACAAGCTTGATGATTATGACATAAAAGTAAAAAGTAAAGCCACAGCCTATATACGTCCCACTGCTGGGCACAGGCCGCACGCATTTCTGAGACGGTTTTAGGGCAAGGAAGTATCCGCTGCGCAGCCCCAATGCGTGTTGGGGAACTTCACATGTCTTCGAAATATTTTTTTCTTAATCCTCAGACATGCAGGTTTCCTCACGATGTTTTTCTTCACCGCCGAACATGTGGTAAATCAGCACTTAAAATTGCAATAAACAATTTCATTGGTGCCGGCGGGGATCGAACCCGGGTTACTCGCGTTCTGTTATATTTACAGCGAGCGTTAACCATCTGAGCAAACACGGCCGAATTATGACACAAATCCTAGTTATATACATACATAAACATAAACCTTGTGTAAAGCAGAGGACTTATGACACTCTTCTGAACTATAGACTGATTGAAAAAGTATAATAGTCAAGATAATCACTCTTTGAAAAAGCATAAAACTACAATTTATCACCGTGTGGTAGCAGTTAAAGGATTTCCGTTGGTATCCCTAGATGTAAAATCCCTGATGGTTCTCTAAATCTAAAAAATCCACTCTAGGATGGATACTCGGAAACGCGTGTCCATCTATCCACCCCAGACTGGGTGGATAGTCGAAATTCACTTTTATTTGTTCTTCCGACTTTTTACCTCAAATACAGCTCAACAATATAATATATACACATACACTTTAATGATTAATATTTTTTTTGTAACCACAAACTTAAACAAAAATCATTTTAAGTATTTCCGTTACCGTTACAGTCTATTAAAGTTCATGCATTATATATTGCATTTAAATCAAATTAAACATCCTCATTTCAAATAATATTATTACTAAACTTATAAAGGTGTTGTAATCATCATCATCATCATTACAGCCCTTCACTAGTCCACTGCTGAACATAGGCCTCCCCCAAGGTATGCCACAAAGCACGGTCCTGAGCCACCTGCATCCATCGACTTCCTGCATGTCTTACCAGGTCGTCACTCCATCTAGTGGGGGGTCGCTCTACATTTCGCCGGCCCATTGCCACTTTAGCTTACTAATCCCTTGGGCTACGTCGGTCACTCTGGTTCTACTAAGGATATCTTCATTTCTAAGTTTATCACGCAGAGAAACTCCGAGCATAGCCCTCTCCATAGCTCGCTGAGCGACTTTGAGCGTCCTCATACGGCCAGCAGTGAAGGACCACGTCTCGGTTCCGTAGGTCATCACTGGCAACACGCACTGGTTGTACAACTTAGTTTTCAGGTTTTGAGGTATACCTGACGAGAAGATGCGTCGTAATTTCCCGAACGCTGCCCAGCCGAGTTGAATCCGTCGATTGACCTCTCGTACGAAGTTTAACTTACCTAGTCGGACTATTTGTCCTAGGTAAACGTACTCGTCAACAACTTCGAGCTTAGTGCTCCCAAAAACTACCGGCATAGGTGTGACATGGATATTAAACATGATCTTTATTTTGTCCATGTTCATCATAAGACCTATCCGTTGGGAGGCACTATTGAAGTTATTGAGCATAGAGCTTAAGTCCTCCAGCGATTATGCCCTAAGGACTATATCCTCGGCAAATCGAAGGTGAGTGATGTACTCGCCATTGATGTTAATACCGTATCCTTTCCAGTCCAGTAGCTTGAAAACGTCTTCCAATGCAGCGGTGAAGAGTTACGGGGAAATAACGTCACCCTGTCTTACACCTCTCTGCAGTTGGATAGGTTTAGTACTCTGGTTCTGTACTCGGATAGCCATCGTAGCCCTACTGTAAAAACACTTCAGCACTTCAATATACCGAGAGTCAACTTGGCACCGCTGAAGAGACTGTAGCACCGCCCAAATTTCGACGGAATCAAAGGCTTTCTCGTAGTCCACATACGCCAGGCAAAGTGGCAGATTATACTTATTTAATATATGTATATATATATATATATATATATATATATATATATATATATATATATATATATATATATATATATATATATACACAGATTATACTCTTCAGACTTCTGTACAATTTAGCGAAGGGTATGTATGTGGTCTATGGTACTGAAGCTTTTTCGGAAACCGACTTGTTCGGGAAGCTAGAAGTCGTCGAATCTGCGTGCGAGACGATTCGTAATGACTCTCGAGAACAGCACGTAGACGCGGCTCAGAAGGGATATCGGTCTGTAATTCTTCAAGAGGGTATTGTTACCTTTCTTGAAGACTAACGTCCGGGATATCATCGGAATAGTGTCGGATAAGACACTATTATGATCGTTGCTCACACTTGCGTGTGGCTCCAACGATGATGTGTACAGCTGCCCATAGAACCTCTCAATCTCACTCAGAGTCTCAGGTGTCCCGGAAACGATGCTGCCACACTCAGTCTTCAGCTTTGACAGTTGGCTCTTACTGGCAGACAGATCTCTGGCAAAGACTTTGGAGCCCTGGTTCCGCTCGATCGCTTCTTCAATACGATACGAAATTGAAGTTGCGCAAGTCTCGCCGCATGCATTTGGAGATCTGTCTGTTCAGTTGCTTGTATGCTGTCCAATCTGTTGACGATTGCAGCCTCATCTCCCGTCTAACAGCCATGAGATTAAGAGTGTGATCGGAGATTTTTTGTGTTCTTCTGCGGCGGGTCATGCAGAACTTAGCTCCGACGCATGGACAGTTTCCACGAGCTTGTCATTCATATCGTCCACTGCATTGCAATCTTCTAGGCACTGAAAGCGCTTACGTGACTTGAGCTGAAAAGTTTCGGGATTCTGGATTAGAGCACGAGGGGGACGGAACGTTGACTTCATTAGACGAGACCTCTCTAACTTAACGTTTAGGTTCAGTGTGC